GAACAATAGGTCTGGAAAAACGAGGTGCTATACGTCTGGTTCTATTTCTGGTAGTCTCTCTGGTTCTTAATCTATTATCAATTTGCATGACAAATGAGATAAACTCATTTAATTTTTTTAGGTAGATCTTTGGCAGCAATCTCATCTAGAATTGTTTCAGATAATCCTTTTTTAAATGCAGAGATAAACCCGCTATTATTCCAGTCTACCTCAGAAGCCAAGGTGCGAAATTCTATGGCATAATCTGAGATAGACCGGTTCCCTTGTCTGATATGCATTAGGGCAGTGGAGGCGTCATCCTCCCTGCCAATTGGTTTGAATGTTAGTTTGAATTCCGCAAGGAATTCCTGATAGTTATGTGCAATACTCCTATTACTCTCCCATAACGGATTGGCCAAAGCCACATTCAGCCAGTCCATAGGAAAGCATTTACAATGCTTTCCTATGGACGCTGGCGTCTTCTCACTGTGAAAATCAATGAGACAGCCACTAGAGGCTGGATTAACCCATTTGTAAACATAGCAGTTTCCTCAAAACTGCTATGTTTATAGAAAAAAGGGTTAATCCTAGCTGGACCTGGCACCCAGACCACTTCATTAAGCTGGGTGCCTATAGTGGTCCTTTAACGTACCAGAGAATAGTCAGAATACTTGCCGAGGTCGGGGACACAGAATGAGACACAACAATGAGGGAAAGCTAATAGTCAGGGATACCAGAATACAGGCAAGTCAAAGGAAGCCAAAGTCAGTAACCCAAAATATACGCTCAGAAATACACTCTTGGACAACCACTAGGGAAACCACGACAGGTCAACGAGGAAAAGTAAAATTGTGTTTAAATAAGCCCTTAACAAATTTGATTGGCCAAAATTATCCTTTGACCCCAGAACGTGGGTGCGCGTCTCCTGCGTGATGTCACACGCACGCCGACGTCGTCATCAACATGGGCGGACATGCGGCTATAATATGGCGTCGATCCGCAGCGGCGGGCTTTCATAAACATGTTGCAGGATACGTCAGTTATACAGACGCACAGACACTGGGTGCAAATACCGCAAGGTGAGGAGGAATATGTTACACCCTCGTGGTCCTGCAACGTGTCACTGCTTGCCTTTCTTCCATTTCTGATTTGATGTCCTCCCGCTTTCTGAAACTCAATCTCTCTAAAACTGAGCTTCTTATTTTTTCCCCCTCCTAATGCTGATCCTCCTCCTTAGCTCTCTCTGCAAATTGATGGTGCTTGCATTAGTCCATCCTTGCAAGCTTGTTGTCTTGGTGTTATCTTTGATCCTGGCCTCACCTTTGCCCCACATATCCAGTATGTTGCTAAAACCTGTCAATTCCACCTTAAAACTATCACCCGCATCCGCCCCTTTCTCACACAAGATGCTGCCAAGGAGCTTGTTCATGCTCTGGTAAATTCTCGCATGGATCACTGTAATTCTCTCTTAGTAGGTCTCCCAAAAGCTGAACTGCCCTGCTACAATTGGCAATGAATGCTGCCGCCAGGCTGATCTTTCTTACCCGTCGTTCCTCCCATACCTCGATGCTTCCGAGTATCATATAAGTGTCAATTCAAAATACTAACCCTTACCTAGAAAGCTCTAACCAACTCTAGCCCCTCTTCCATTTATTCCCTGATTCATGGATATGCCCCTTCTAGGTCTCTCTGCTCTGCCTTCTTCCGTCAGCTCCTCACACCCTTACTGCTAACTTGTAGGGATGTGCATGGGGAAAATATTCGGTTCGTTTCGGCATTCCGAAATTCGGGACTTCGGCCATTTGGAACTTCGGGACTTCGGCAATTTGGAACTTCGGGACTTCGGCACTTCAGAACTTCGGCACTTCGGCATTTCGGAACTACGACACTTCGGCAACTTCGGCACATCAGAATTTCGGAACTTCTGCATTTCGGAGTATCGGGACATCAGCACTTTGGGACTTCTCTTGCAGCCGCTTAGTAGATAACTCACTAATTACCACGGTATTAGGGAGTTATCTACCAAAAGGCTGAAAGACCTAAATTGGTCTTTCAGCCAAATTTACTAATACTAAGTAAGAATTACTTAGTATTAGTAAATAATCTGCCCCTACTCACTATACTGCGAGTAGGGGCATATCTATTAAACAGTGAGCAGCCTGTTCACATTTTATTATTTATACTCCTTTTATATAATTATATGCAGCGAGCACTATCAGTTGTCTCTCTTCTCTCTTATGATCTACATATTGGTACAAGACTTACAACTCTACACGTATCCTACAAGCAGGGATTATACCACTGTACGCCATTCCCACTAGAGCTGGTTCAAGCTCTACTGCACGTGAGTAGGACTATATTAGACTGTTGTTGTACAAACCATCTTTACTAGACATACTGCCCTATCATCTGTTTTTTTCTTCAACATTAATTTTTAAAAGACCAATACTTCTCTACGTATCCCACAAGCGGGGATTGTACCACTGTATGCCATCCACACTAGAGCTAGTTTAGCTCTACTACACGTGAGTAGGATTATCGTAGAGCCCTTCTTCCTGCTATCCAACCTTTTTACTAGACATATTTGCACTATTATCTTCTTCTCTCTTTACATACGGATCCTGGAAAGCCATCTCCCTTCCATATAGACAATATTCCTCTACATAGGCCATTGGTGCCCCATCAGACTCACCTAAAGACTTTGTTTTGGTACCACTTAATAATTTTGGACTTTGTTCATATTAGCTGTACTATAGTCAGCTTTGGCGCAACCTTCTTTTGTCTTGTCTTATGTATTACCAAGAATTTATACCCCTATTTATACATGACAAAACCTTACTGGCCTTAGCAACTGCCTATTGACATTGCATATTGCTGCCTAATTTGTTGTCTATAACAATTCACAAATCCTTCTCATGTGTTGTTATCCCTAATTCACTACCATTTAGGGTGCAAGTTGCTTGTGCATTCTTTACCCTGAAGTGCATAACTTTGCATTTCTCTACATTAAATTTAATTTGCCATTTTAGTGCCCAGTCCCCCAATCTATCTAAATCCCTCTGCAGCAAAGCAATATCCTGCTCACATTTTATTACTTTACAAAGTTTTGTGTCATCTGCAAACACTAAAACATGGCTTTCAATGCCCATTTCAAGATCATTTATAAATACGTTAAATAGAAGTGGTCCCAAAACAGAATCCTGATAGACACCACTTACCACTTTTATCCAGTTTGAAAATGTACCATTAATGACAACTCGTATTATATCCTTAAGCCAATGTTCTACCGAGAAACAACAATATTAATTTAGACAAATTTCTTTTAGTTTGAACACTAACCTATTGTGAAGAACCGTACCAAATGCCTTGGCAAAATCTGAGTAGATCACATCCATTGCAATAACCTGATCTATACTTCTACTTACTTCTTCGTAGAATGCAATTAGGTTAGTTTGACATGACCTATGTTTCATAAAACCATGCTGGTTATTGCTAATAACAAAGTTCTTCCCAATGAATTCCTGAATATTATCCCTTAATAGCCCTTCAAATACTTCCCCAGTCACAGAAGTTAAGCTCACAGGTCTATAATTTCCAGGCAAGGATTTTGAACCCTTTTTAAATATAGGAACAACATCTGCCTTCCTCCAATCCTCCGGTACAATTCCTGAAAGAAAGGAATCTTGAAAGATTAAATACAGAGGTTCACTTATTTCCACACTTAGCTCCTCAAGTACTCGTGGGTGAATACCATCAAGCCCCAGAGCTTTATTTACATTAATTTTCTTTAACTGCTGTAGCACCTTGTCTTGAGTCATCGAATCACAAGTTATATGCACATCTCTTGCCATAGAATTCTCATTAATATATACTGAAAAAAAATTGTTATTTAAAATGTCTGCCTTTTCTTGGTCTTCATTAACTAACAGACCCATCTCTGTTTCCAGTGTACCTACACTTTAATTTGTTGTTTTTTTAGAATTGATGTACTAGAAATTTTGGGGGGATTGGTTTTAGTTTCTTTGACTATCAATTTCTCATTTTCTAGGTTAGCTACTTTAATTGCCTTTTTTCAAGCATTATTGGCTTCCTTATATCTTATATAGGATGCCTCTGATTTGTCCAATTTAAATGCTTTAAATGCCCTTTTCTTATTTTTAATCTCTTGTTTTATTTCACTGCTCAGCCACATTGGTTTCAAAGTGAAGAATAAAACTTTTTTTACAATAATTGAAATAAAAAAATAAGAAATCATAACCTAATGTTCTGGAATTAGGCAATTACTGTGATATTACAAAACAATCCTGTCTGTATCTGCTCACATGGATTACTAAAACTTATAGAGACAGGCAGTGGCCACTAGATGACAGCAGTGCACTTCAATTTTCTCAATCAGCCAAATTTGTTGTGAGAGAACTAAATTGAAGGCATACTATTGCTACATAAATTCTAAAATTTATAATCTAGTAGAGCGCATTTTGCTTTTTCCGCCTAATTTGCTATCTTCGTGAAAACAAATGAATCCAAAAAATTCTGAATTTTATTTTTGGATCAATGCATTCCAAATTTTTGTTTGTGTTTGTTTCATTTAGTAAGAATTTGGAAATTTGAATGGTTCTGAATTAGTCCAAATTTACATCTAAAACGAAATGCACATGTCTAATACGAAGTTTGATTAAATAATAGGATAGGATTTCTTTCATTACAACACTCTACATCTTGAGGAGGTTTTGACCAGGTTGCAAACTTTTTTTAAATTTTTTAATTTTCATTTTATTGAGTTGATAATAGCAGTATGCAGCTTCTACAATATATATGAAAGGAAATGAACATGAGCATGAAAACAAACAAGTGTAGAAACTGAGGCAGAATATAATACAGCATTATCAATCTGTCACACATTATAATAAAATAAAGTAAAGTTCTATATAGAACATGTAATAAGACTTTACTTATGAAGAGAGGGTTGTGTAAGGTGTGAAGAGCGGTACAGACAACCTGGAAATGCAGGGGTCGAAGTCCTAGTCTTTGGTCAGAATTTGCAGTTTCTTGGTGGTGTTCTTAAGCTTGTTGGTGAACTTGTGAATGTTACTGTCCTCGTATTCCTGGTCCCTCCTTGTTGGCACTGAAGCAGCTGCCTGTAGGTAAGTCGACAGGCCCAAAATCTGCAGGAAGTGCAGGTTTATACGCCTGCGGTGCATCTCTAGCGTGGTCATCGTCTGGCTTAAGTGTTTAAATTATGAGGTAAGACTTTCTAGCTTGCCATCTGTATCCTGAAGGTATTTGGCTCTGGAGGTCTCTTGCCCCTCCATCTCACTTACCTTCTGGTGGACCACACCGATTTCAGGCCTGGACAACATGGAGATCATCTTTCCAGACCTTCCGAAGGTCAATAATGAGCCTCTTGATGTCTCCTTTCGTTGAGGGTGCTTTATCTTCATCTGACCCAGATGTGTGGGATGCATCCTCTGATTGGGGAGAATTAAGAGGGTCTTCATCCTCCTGCGAGGCATCCGATGCCTCCGGTGCACACTGGGCCTCTGATACCATCTTGGAATGCTGTTGCGGTCCTGGTCTCTCAACAGAGATATATCTTGCTGACAAGGAGCTTCTAAGAGATACCATTTTTTGTTCTGGTGCCCCATTGTCTCTTCTTAATGTTTCTGGTGTAAGAGACTGTAATTTTCATGGCACACTTCGCTGTTCTTCTCTTGGTCCTTGCGGAGCTCAATGAGTAGACTTTTGTTCAGAAGCACTGTCGGCCATGCCCTGCCACAAACTTGTCCCAGGGTTTTCTGTGTGCAGCTCACACAGCTAATTATGGAAAGAAATATCTCTAGCACATAAGATATTGGCTTGCACAATCTACTCCTACACTCATATGTGGCATGCCCTTCTTTAACTCGGGGCAATAAGGGCAGCTGCACCGGGTCCAGTTATTCATAGGGGGCACAAATCAGCTGTCCCTTGATCCCGCAAATGTGGCTGCCGGACATCGTGGTGCAGCCCCAAGCTGTGTGGAACTACCGGCGCAGGGCCATGCTGAGAGTGCCCATCGGGTGGCCCATACATAAAATGGCAATGTGTATTCAGAGGCCCGATCAGCGCTGTGGCCCTTTTGCTGCATGACTGGGCCCCTGTGATTATGTCACTTCCTCCCAACAAACATGGGACGCGCAGGAGGGGGAAAGGAGAAAGTTGGAGAGCTGGAAGCTCTGACTCCCAACAGCCTCAGCAAGCCAGTGGACCCCAGGGCAGTCACCATCCTGAATCTAGAAGATAGGAAACGGTAGGGTGGATAAAAAATGAATTTTGCAGTGTGTCCTTTTGTGTGTATCTATTTGTATGTATATTTATCTGTTTGTATATATATATATATATATATATATATATATTTGCATGTATGTACGTGTATTTGTGTGTCTGTGTATTTATCTGTTTGTTTGCCTGTATGTATATTTGTGTATTTATCTGTTTGTTTGTTTGTTTGTGTGTATATCTGTTTGCCTGTATGTGAATCTGTGTGCCTTTATGTGTATCTGTTTGTCTGTATCTGTGTGTCTATATATTATTATGTTTGTCTGTATGTGTATCTCTTTATTTATCTGTGTGTTTGTATGTGTATTTGTTTGTATGTATGTGTATCTGTGGATTTATCTGTGTCTATATGTTTATATGTGTGTCTGTGTATTTATCTGTGTGTTTGTTTGTGTGTATCTGTGTGTCTGCATGTGTATCTGTGGATTTATCTGTTTGTCTGTATATGTATCTGTGTGTCTGTGCATTTATTTGTTTCTCTGTATGTGCACCTGTGTGTTTGTATGTGTGTCTGTGTATCTGCATGTGTGCCAGTGTGTCTTTGTATCTGTATGTGTGTCAGTGTGTGTCTGTATAACTGCATATCTGTCTGTGTATGTATTTGTACATGTGTTAATTTGTGCATCTGAACGTATAGCAGTATGTGTGTGACTGTTTATCTGTATGTGTGTTAGTGTATCTGTATGTTTGTCAATGTATGCACCCTTCCAGTGGCGTACATACCGGGGTCGCAGGGGTTGCGGCTGCGACCGGGCCCGGCCCACCAGGGGCCCAGCCGGGGCCCCTCTTCTCCTGGGGGGCCCAGGAGTTGACCACCTCAGGGCCCCCCGAGGCTGGCCCTGGTATCACCGGGCAGACTGGCGGGCGCGCGAGGAAGCACTGTCCCCTATGTTCTCCCTCTTCAGCTCCCTCGCGCACCGCACTGATACCGGAGTTGGAAGCTGACGTTATCTTCTGGCTCCGGCATCAGTACGCGGCGCACGAGAGAGCTGAAGAGGGAGCACTCAGGGGACAGTGCTCCCTCGCACACGCGCCAGCCTGCCTGCCCACCCAGTGACCGGCCGCCCAGGAGCCCAGCTGCACCACTGGACCCCAGGGAATCCGCTCAGCATTCCAAAAGGTAAGGAGGCTGGGGGATTCAATTTTTTTAAAAAAATGTGTGTGTGTTAGTGTGTGTGTGTTAGTGTTTGTGTGTTAGTGTTTGTGTTAGTCTGTGTGTGTTAGAGTGTGTGTGTGTGTGTCTGCTAGTGAGTGTCAGTGAGTGTGTCTGTTATTGAGTGTGTGTCTGCTAGTGAGTGTCAGTGAGTGTGTTAGTGTGTGTCTCTTACTGAGTGTGTTTGTGTGTGTCTGTTAGTGAGTCTGATGTCTGTTATTGAGTGTGTGTTTGTCAGTGAGAGTGTATGTTTTGTAAGTGAGTGTGTATGTATGTCTGTTGCTGAGTGTGTCTCTGTCAGTAAATGTGCGTGTCTGTTAGCTAGTGTGTATGCGTCTGTTCGTGAGAGTGTGTGTCTTCAGCACTTACCTTTCTCCAGCGCCAGACTCCCTTGGCGCTGGGGAACCCTACGCCTCTCAGTTCGGAATGTGCATGCGCATTCAAACCGCCCATAGGAAAGCATTACTCAATGCTTTCCTATGGACTTTCAGTGTCTTAGAATCGTGGAAGCTCCTCTAGCGGCTGTCAATGAGACAGCCACTAGAGGCTGGATTAACCCTCAGTTTTCAGCTGCAGGGTTAAAACTAAAGGGACCTGGCACACAGACCACTTCATTGAGCTGATGTGATCTGGGTGTCTGTAGTGGTTCTTTAAGTGTGTGTGCATCTGCATGCACTGGCGTTCATACCGCGGTCGCAGCCCTGCAAGCCCTGCGACCAGGTGTCCACCGCCATGTGTTGCGGCCCCAGCCCGCGCAGAGCAATGCGCGGGGCGGGGGGCCATGGATCCATTTTCGCACCAGGGCCCCATGGGTCATGTGTACGCCACTGCACCCTTCCACACACACACTGTCACGCTCCCTCACACTGTGATCCCCCCTTCACCCTGCCACATTCACATTAGCAACCCTGTCACACTCACCCATACCACATTCACCACCAATCGCACTGCACAAAACCAACAATTTACAATATGTTTGTGTGTATATGATTGCACTAATGCAAATTCTTTACAGTCAAAAATCAAATATGGGTGGACGGACACACGGACAGATGGATAGATGGACGGACAGACAGACAGATAGATCAATAGATAGATAGATAGATAGAAAGACAAGCTATCCTCATGATTAATAAAACCTCTCCCTTTCCAAATAGTGCAAGATTTAATGAACAATATAGATCTAAGACACTGGTGTATATCAGTAATTAAAAAAAAAATATCGAACATTTTCTAGAACAATGCTATAAAAACGTTTTGGATTTGTGTTTAGAATTCCCTGTACAAGACAAGGAAATATTTAACTATAAGAGCGAACTCAAAAAATAACAATGAAAGATGGAGAACCAAAGAAAAAGTGGAGGAATTATTCTGTCAAGATAAAAAATGTAAAACTATTTCAAAATGTATTGATTTTGTTAGAAACCTACCGGGACAGTATTCATCAAAAGTTATAAGGAGATGGAAACAGCGACTGAATCAAAAGATAGATCTACACCAGTGGTTCCCAACCCAGTCCTCAAGTACCCCCTACAAGTCCAGGATTTAGGGATTTCCAAGTTTTTTCTAAGGTGTTTTTAGAAGGAAAAAAAATACTTTAGACACAACAGGGTAACACCTAAATCCTGGACTTGTAGGGGGTACTTAAGGATTGGGTTGGTAACCCCTGATCTAGACATAATGCCCTAAGGGAAGCATACACAACTACCCATTCTTTACATTTCCAAGAATTACAGTGTAAGATAATTAATAGATGGTACCTAGTTCCAAGCAGGATAGCTAAGATATACCAAGGTGAACTAATGAATTACTGGAGATGTGGAAATATAAATTAGGATTTTATGCAAATGTGGTGGAGCTGTCCATTAATTGTGCCCCTGTGGAAAGTCATCATAAAAATAATAAAATTAACAGATACAGATTAACCTAACAGACCAGAAGTAATATTTGTTACACGTAGGGTTTCCAAGAGTTAAGATAGAGTGTCAAAGAATTATAATATATATATATATATATAGATATATATATATATCTATATATATATATATATATAAAATTAGCTGCTAAAAACATGATCGCTAAGAAATGGAAATCAAAATCAGCACTATCTACAAATAAAATAATAGAGATAATAAAGAACATTGAGAGATCAGAATAATCGGCATTTGAAGATTTTTGCTAGGAGCTTTAATGATATATTGAGAAAGAAAAGCCTCTGGACCTATGGCGAATATGACACCCTATGGAAGAGGATTTTACATGCTTTTCATACGCACACCAAGTTAACTCAAGAATAGATCTAATAATTTCTGATCCAGAGATCTCAAAAATTCTTGAAAGAATCTTTATTATAAATATAGCGTGGTCAGATCATAACGCAATAATTACAGTAATTAAGGATGATACGTTCAAAGATAGATCGAACTGGTGGTTAAATGAATGATTGTTAAATAATCCTACATATCTAAATCAAATAAAATTAACAACAAACTTTTTTTTTTTTAAAGAAAATTGTAAGGATGAAGTATCACTCCCAATAATCTGGTGTGCCTATAAGTGTACAATACCACTTAATTAAAATGGGACATCAAGAAAAAATCAAGAGTTCTAAAAATTTAGCGCAACCATATATAGAACTGGATGAGGTAGAATATGCTAATAAAAAAGATCCTAGTCTGGAATTGAGTCATAGATCGAAAATACTCAGAGACAAAATAAATGATCTTCTGATACTGAAAACTAATGCTTCTCTGGAGAGATTGAGAAGAACTTGGTACTACAAAGGCAATAGGGCAGATTGACAATTATCCAATAGATTTTTTTTTAAAATGGTAAAAAAAAAAAAAAAAAATGAAAATTAATAGAGAAAAATAGAGAAAAGGACATTGTGGGATTTACCAGTTACACTGAAAAAACACAGAAAAGTGGGAATATCGGATTAACAAAATTAAAAACTCAATGTCTGAATAAAATGAGATTCAAATAACCTTCGGCAGTTGAAATGTAAATATATGTGATGATTTCTTGTGTGTTTAATTTTGGTGTTGCTTTTGATGTAATTTTCATTTTATTAAGGATA